AGTCTAACCAGAGGTGGTCCTCAGTGTGTGAAGCTGACTTTGACCAGCAGGATGCAGAGGTGGTCTGCAGGGAGCTTGGCTGTGGGGCTCCTTCAGTCCTCCAGGGGGCGCTCTATGGAGAAGTGGAGGCTCCAATGTGGACCAAAGAGTTCCAGTGTGGAGGCCATGAGTCTGCTCTCCTGGACTGTAGAAGCTCAGGCTCAGATAGAAACACCTGCTCACCTGGCAAAGCTGTTGGACTCACCTGCTCAGGTAGAAGAGGAGCTGCAGCTTTGATTTGGTTCATTTCTCTTACACTCACTTTGTTCTTTTACTGACGACTCTCTGGTTTCTGTTCAGAGCCTGTCAGGTTGGTGGGAGGATCCAGTCGCTGTGCAGGAACACTGGAGGTGAAACAGGGAGAGTGGAGACCGGTGGATGGTGATGACTGGAGCCTGAAGGAAGCAGCAGTAGTTTGTCGAGACCTGGACTGTGGCTCTCCAATTTCTATAGAACAGAGAAAGGAGTCCACGAGAAGACCTGCATGGTCGATGACATCTGAATGTGTTCACTCTGGATCTGCTCTGAGGGAGTGTGTAACATCATATTCCTCTTCCACTTTCTTGGAGGTCACCTGCTCAGGTAAGTCCATCAGTGATATCATCAGTAATGTTTTCAGTGTGTTCCTTCCTCTGTAAATTAACTGAACTGTAAAGTTTCCAGAACAACGACATAAGTGACAGAAGTGGTCTTGTTTCTGGAAACTCAGTGCGTCAACACCACCTTAAAGTGGAGATGAAATACTGAAAAATATGACTGTAGTTTGTTTGATTTTTACTTTAAGGGGCTTTCACACTGCCACACAGTATTTCGCCACCTTGTTATGTCAACAAGAGCAAGGCGGCAATGGCTGAGCATGAGACAGTTGGGGTATGAAGAGGGAGTGTGTAACATCATATTCCTCTTTCACTGTCCTGGAGGTCACCTGCTCAGGTAAGTCCATCAGTGATATCATCAGTAATGTAGCAGTGATGTTTCCAGTGTGTTCCTTCTTCTGTCATTGGACTGAACTGTTATCCAGGACAGTGAATTGGTAATGAAGCAGTCTTGTTCCTGGAAGCTCAGTGCCTCAACATCACCTTAAGCGTGTTGCATGTTATGGGGTTCCACTGTAGCTGGTGTGCGCCTCCTTAAAAAAACGTAACCACACATCAGAGCAATGGTGGCCACGGAGATACCACATGGAGACAACAAGAACTGTGACTGGTCAGCTTTGGGCTGCTTGTGTTTTCTCCTACATGTTTCTGATGATAGTGGGGATCTTAGAGAGCCAAAACAACATGGCCTAGTTGAAGAAAGTGATTTTCTTATTTTCAGAGACTGCAACTGACAAAGACTCTGGTCATAATGTAAATACAGCAGAATAGTCTAATATTTAGAAACAGGGGCTGAAATGGTCCTGCAGTGAATGTGTCACAGTGGGACTAACACACCCAGATCATGTGACTCCTGCATGTATACAGTCAATCAGACCCAAACTGGCCGAGGCGCTCTGAGCATGCTCCACAGTTTCCGCCCCGGGCTTTGACCCGGAAGTCCAATGGCATTAAATGTGTAAGAGAAGAAGAAGCCGGTAACAACATGAAGAAATCTACATCCAGAGCCGTGACTTTTTGGACGGACCAAATGTACAGAGCTGTAAAGTTGTCCACCATGGTACCAGTTAGCTGCTAGCTAACTGTAGCTAACTTGTTTGTCCATTGTTTAGTCTAGGCTGACCAAACGTCCTCTTTTGCCCGGACATGTCCACTTTTCACGTCCCGTCCGGGGCATCCGGGGGTTTTTTATAAACTGATGATAATGTCTAGTTTTCCGTGTGTTTGTGTGTGTGTTCGAGTGCGGCACAGGCAGCATATTTCTGTCCGAACCCGAACTGAGCCCGACATTATTTAATGACCAAAGCACTGAGTTTGTGTCACACAGTTGTTATGGCTACAGGCTATTTAACAGGCCGGGCATGCTCAGCGGAGAGGGAGACCTCCGTGTTTGAGACGGGAGCAGGAGGCGGGAGGTCCGACGCTTCTAGCCAGAGGAGAGGGAGAAATAAAACAAAATAAGATAAAATAGGAAAAACCTGTCTCCCTCTTTTATTTTCAGCGTTTAATCAAGGCGGAGGCTGGCGGCTGGAGGTCCGAGACTTCCAGCGAGGGGAGAGGTAGAAACAAACAGCCAATGTGTGTCTGTGTGTGTTATGTTCAGGTGTTGTCACGTAAATAACAGTGCCCAAGCAATAAACAGGACAGATAATAGGATTTTATTTATTTTTACACTACATTTTCACTGAAAGCTGACCGAATCCGACCCGAGCCCGAATACAGTTTATAGCTACATTTTTGACCAAACCCGGCCGACCCGTCGGGTACCATCGGGCTCGGATCGCCGCACTCTAGTGTGTGTATGTGTCCCCTACTGGGGCCTATCTGAATTTCTGTCTTTGAGAGATATTATTTTGTAATATAACTGAATTTTCTATCCATACATATACATTTTAAATATATTAAAATTATAAGGCATCTTTGAGTAAACTGCGAGTATCATTTAAGTAGGCTATATCGTGGCCGGGCCGAGTGTCCTCTTTTTTGGAAATCAAAATATGGTCACCCTAATTTAGTCTGTGACGTAATAGGTCAACAGGAAAAAGGTCCAATACTAACAAGCTGAAAGGGGGCATATCTCCACCTATCGTAGAGGAGTCGCACATAGAGGGACAAGGACAGTAGTCCAATTAAATGGCCTAGTCGAGCTATAAATGTGGCTCGACTTAACTGTGTGTGGAAACATACTGAGTGAAAGTCTCTGAACCACAGGAAACCAAAGGTAAGCAGACTAGAACACTCACACTGTAGCGTCATAGTTGGATGGTAACGTCAAGTAGCCACAGGCAAACAGGAACCAAGGACGGTCTTGTTGTCAGGGACAGAAGGCTGGTACATTTACTGGAAATCAGATAAGACAGGTAGGTCAGAGGCAGGCAGGGTCGGCAATGGGAAATCATTCCTGGAAAAGTTCTGGAGAGTCTTGCATGAGTGGCGAAGAACAATCTAGAAAAGACTGTCTGTGAGGTTGGGTAGTATGTACTGGCTCTGAGTTGTGAGGAACAGGTGAACTGAGTTGCCTTGATGAGGTGGGCATGACTGATGCTGACGCATGGGAAACCAGGGTCAATGGAAAATTACCGACTGGGGGCTGGGTGACTGGGCAGGCAGAAGTGAGCAGGTGACCAGAGATGCTGAACTGTTACAAAGGGTAGGCTACTAAACTAGTGTGTATTCTCTCGTATATATTAAAAGCATTAATTACTTTTTTTTTTTTTAGAACTAAAAGCTCATTTCTCTTTGAAAGGGTGTACTGCATTATAATGCTATAATAACATTACATCAGTGGCATGAAATGTTCTTAAAATGACAAGTATAGTGCAACTATTTCTGGGACAATACATTGTCCAACAAAGTAGTTATCATGACAGACCTAATGAGGCAAAAATAAGGACTTTGGTAAATGCCATTTCAAACAGCTGTGCTACCAGTTTACTCACAATGACACCAGTTCCATTAGAGACAAAGAGAACTGGGAGAACTATGTGGTTTGGTGGTCAATTATGGGAGTGAATTAAAAGGGAGTCCAGGTGGGTATTTCTGTGCTTGTGTTTCCTAGATAAATTCTGAGGCTAACATGAAGCCGACTGCTGCTCTCGACTGAACTCTCTCTCTGTCTCCAGACTCTGTCAGGCTGGTGAATGGGACCAGTCTGTGTTCAGGCAGACTGGAGGTGAAGTCTAACCAGTCTAACCAGAGGTGGTCCTCAGTGTGTGAAGCTGACTTTGACCAGCAGGATGCAGAGGTGGTCTGCAGGGAGCTTGGCTGTGGGGCTCCTTCAGTCCTCCAGGGGGCGCTCTATGGAGAAGTGGAGGCTCCAATGTGGACCAAAGAGTTCCAGTGTGGAGGCCATGAGTCTGCTCTCCTGGACTGTAGAAGCTCAGGCTCAGATAGAAACACCTGCTCACCTGGCAAAGCTGTTGGACTCACCTGCTCAGGTAGAAGAGGAGCTGCAGCTTTGATTTGGTTCATTTCTCTTACACTCACTTTGTTCTTTTACTGACGACTCTCTGGTTTCTGTTCAGAGCCTGTCAGGTTGGTGGGAGGATCCAGTCGCTGTGCAGGAACACTGGAGGTGAAACAGGGAGAGTGGAGACCGGTGGATGGTGATGACTGGAGCCTGAAGGAAGCAGCAGTAGTTTGTCGAGACCTGGACTGTGGCTCTCCAATTTCTATAGAACAGAGAAAGGAGTCCACGAGAAGACCTGCATGGTCGATGACATCTGAATGTGTTCACTCTGGATCTGCTCTGAGGGAGTGTGTAACATCATATTCCTCTTCCACTTTCTTGGAGGTCACCTGCTCAGGTAAGTCCATCAGTGATATCATCAGTAATGTTTTCAGTGTGTTCCTTCCTCTGTAAATTAACTGAACTGTAAAGTTTCCAGAACAACGACATAAGTGACAGAAGTGGTCTTGTTTCTGGAAACTCAGTGCGTCAACACCACCTTAAAGTGGAGATGAAATACTGAAAAATATGACTGTAGTTTGTTTGATTTTTACTTTAAGGGGCTTTCACACTGCCACACAGTATTTCGCCACCTTGTTATGTCAACAAGAGCAAGGCGGCAATGGCTGAGCATGAGACAGTTGGGGTATGAAGTGGTTACTACCCACATGCAAGCACACACATTTTGCTCTGCTGGGCTGAGTTCACCGAGTTGAACTTGTGGTTGCTGCCTAGCTATAGCCGATCCAATAGAAGGCATGACTGAATCTAAAAGAAGACAAAATGGAGGAGCTGATAATGTTAGTGTCTGACAACCCAGAATTACAGTGCTAGCAACTTATAAGGACAGCCAGAAGGAAAACTGGGCCTAGGGTAACATTTCTGCCAAACTTAAGATGACTGGTAAATCGCCCAAATATGTAGAAAGCCTTGGTAGTCTCAGTGATTTCTGATGCCTTGTTACAATATGCAGCTACAAGTAGCATGCAATTCTGCCAGTGTTCACCAGAGCACCTGCCCAGCAGCACAACTGGGGACCATGGCAACAGCGTCATAGCTTATCGACTGTGGAGGCATTTTAAAAATGCTTTGCTTTTTGGGGAAAACCCCCTGCAGGTCGGCAGTTGTCAGGGTGGTTACTGTGTGGCGGTGTGAAAGCAGCTTTAGGCAAGGTAGGATTTTCACTCAGGCTGTCAAGCAATTAAAATGATTTATCTAATTAATTACATGCTCTGTGATTAATTAATCTAAATTAATTGTATGCATCAACTTTTGCTGTGAAAGTATTTAAAAAATTTCAGTTCAAATGAATGTCGTCAGATGTGTTGTAGTAAAGCGGCTGGATGTTGGACACAGTTGTCCCCCTGTCCTCGACCACTCAAACTGGTCTGCAGTCCATTCTGTGAGGGAGTCAGTGAGTCGGTCACAGGTAGACTGACTCAGTTTGTGTCTCAACACCTGGTCCAGTGTGGCATGATGAGGCTGGCTGCTAGCGTTAGCATCAGAGGCTGTGCTAGCTCAGACCTCTGGGTTCGCTGCTAAATACTTTGTGTTGAGGTGATGTTTCAGACTGAAGTTCTTCGATGATGTGAAAATTCCCTCATGCAGAACCTGCAGAGAACAGTGCTCCTATCAACAGCTCCATCTGGGTGTTTGTTAAATGTTAATGTTCCATTCACAGGGCCGAGCAGCGTCGTCTCATCTGCCTCCATCATGTGACAAAGACACTGTGGCACCAAGGAACATGATTAATCAGCATTAATTTTTTTGAAGTGTTATTTTTTTCTGTGATTAATTAATTGAAATTAACGCATTATTATGACAGCCCTAATTGTTATTAATCCATTACATATACAGAACATGTGAGTGAACTGAAAGGTGGTCCAGGTGAGTTTCTGTGCAGGTATATGTGATGCTGGAGACAGATGATGTCTCAGAGTGAACTGTGAGCTCTCTCTCTGTCTCCAGACTCTGTCAGGCTGGTGAATGGGACCAGTTTGTGTTCAGGCAGACTGGAGGTGAAGTCTAACCAGTCTAACCAGAGGTGGTCCTCAGTGTGTGAAGCTGACTTTGACCAGCAGGATGCAGAGGTGGTCTGCAGGGAGCTTGGCTGTGGGGCTCCTTCAGTCCTCCAGGGGGCGCTCTATGGAGAAGTGGAGGCTCCAATGTGGACCAAAGAGTTCCAGTGTGGAGGCCATGAGTCTGCTCTCCTGGACTGTAGAAGCTCAGGCTCAGATAGAAACACCTGCTCACCTGGCAAAGCTGTTGGACTCACCTGCTCAGGTAGAAGAGGAGCTGCAGCTTTGATTTGGTTCATTTCTCTTACACTCACTTTGTTCTTTTACTGACGACTCTCTGGTTTCTGTTCAGAGCCTGTCAGGTTGGTGGGAGGATCCAGTCGCTGTGCAGGAACACTGGAGGTGAAACAGGGAGAGTGGAGACCAGTGCATGGCTTTGGCTGGAGCCCAAAGGAAGCAGCTGTATATTGTAGAGAGCTGGACTGTGGCTCTGCTGTTTCAGCAGAATGGAGAAAGGAGTCCAATGAGTCCTTAGAGAGACCTGTTTGGATGATATCTCAGCATGCCCCCTTTGGATATGCTCTGAAGGACTACGTAACACCAAGTTCCTCTTCCAACATCTTGGTGATCATCTGCTCAGGTAAGTCCCTCAACAATATCATCTGTGACAGTAATGTGTCTTATGTGTTCCTCCCTCTGTCACAGTGACAGTTAGTAGTTGTTATTGGACTGAACTGTAAAGTTAGTCAGGGCAATGATATCCTAATGAAGTGGTCTTGTTTAGGACTGGGCGATGCATCGAGGTCGTCGACGTCATCGACTACATAAATACGTTGACGCGAATTATTAGCATCGATGCGTTGGTTCAAACAAAAAAATGCCGGCGTGCAGCAGCAGCAGCAGTGCTGTGCTATTGTGCTATGGCCTATCCAAGTACTGGAATTTGTTATTTACGCGACAACACCTGAACGCAACACAGGCTCCGCTCCATTGACTGTGTGTACAGTGCCGTGCTGTATATATAT